TCCTGTGTTTTTTCTATTTTTTACAATTGTCTGTGTTTTTATGTAGATTTTTGGATTTTTTTTGTATTTTCTGCACATGCATGAGTATGACTAAACACATCCTAATTTTTCTTTATTTTTTGGTGTTATTTATTTATTTTTTAAAATGTTTCTGTACTTTTTTTGTATTTTCTATTTGTTATGTACTTTGTTATTTTTGTATTTAGATAATTTTATTTTTCTGTATTTTTTTATTTTTTTGTGTTTTTTCTATATTTTTTATAATTTTTCTGTATTTTATTTTTATATTTTCTATGTGTTTTGTACTGTATTATTTTTGTATTTAGATAGTTTTATTTTCTGTATTTTTCTGTTTTTATTTAATTTTATGCTATTTTTTATTATTTATAAATATATTTTTAATTTTTAATTTATTTATGACATCACGGATCGAACCGTTCGACCTGAACGGTTGAACTGCTTAACCAAAAACCAGTCCCTTGACCGGTTCTGTTTCCGGTTCGTTTTTAAAAACCTTGATTAGTAGTGATAAGTACGGTTCTACCTGCATGTGAAAGTGTATTCTTCTTCCAACTTGAAAGTTTCATTGTGAATCAATCCACCAAGTAATTCTATCAACAATTTTAGTTCTACCCATAAAGAGAGTGCCACCCAATAGGGGTGAACATTATTCGGTTAAAACTGAAAAATCGAACCGAAAATTTTGGTTTCAGTTTTTGGTTATTTTGGTTCGGTTTTTCGGTTTCAGTTTTAGAAATTCAGTTAATCGGAAAAACCGAATTAACCAAACTTTATTATCTATAATATATATTAATATATAATACATATATAATATGTAAAATATATTATATTGTATTATATTATGTATTAAAATATGTAATTTATTATATACATTGTATAATATATTTTTAATATATAATATATATTATATATTAAAATATACACTATAATATATATTAAAATATATATAGTGTTGAAATTCGGTATTAACCAAAATAACCGAAAACTAAACCAAAATTTTTGGCTTCGGTTTGGTTTTTTACCGAATAAACCGTTTGCTCACCCCTACCACCCAGATATCTTTGTGTGCGCTTCATTAGTAAGACGCCAAATTGGTTGCAATCCAATCCTGTATTCTTCTATGCATGGTTTTTAAAACCGAATCGGACAACAAACCGGTTAAGGGTCTGGTTCCCGGGTTGAACGGTTCGACCATTTGAAACGAACAAATGGCCCATTCTAACAAAAAAATTAAAAACTGGCCAAACCGTTAAACTGTTTGACCACCCAGGTCAGCGGTTTGCTAACCAAATCAACGGTTTTTAGAGAAATAACAGTTCTGGAGTAAAACGGAAACAATCACCTAATTGGTTCCCGGTTTTTCTAGTCCGACCATCCAGTCTGGTCTGGTTTTGAAAACCATGCTTCTATGAGTATTGGTGCTGAAGAAGATATATGATTTATTAAAATTGATCTCTTGTATAGACCAAATACAAAATGTGTGTAGGACATCAAGAATGCGAGTGACCAAAGTGTGACTATGGCTTTGTTTGGCTCATCTTTCTGCATAGTCTATCGGCTATTTACAAGCCCGGCAAACCATGATTCGGTTTTTTCCCGTTTGGTTTGCGATAGATCTAGCTGCCAAAAGCCGATGTGCCAAAAAGATGTGAAAAGCCCAAAATGGGTGATTTTCAGGAAGCTCCAAATGGAGCTTTTGTGTTTTTTCTATTCGCCTTCGTGCGGAAAGACATGCCTTAACCAAATAGGCTTCAGGCTGCTTAGATCTTAAGGCAAAAGTTCAATGCGTCTTTTGACTGTCAAAGTTACTAGAAGATCTTCCCCAAAAGACTTGCCAAGCGTCCCCTATATCTCCCAAAAATTAGAAGATCATTTGCAAACATAAGGCTTAATTTGGAATGCTCAATTTGGAAGGAGTACAAATACAAATATGTACAATACAAATACATAAAAAATAATACAAAATGTAAGGTTTTGCACTCTACAAATTTGTATTTATACTCTTTCCAAACTGAGCCTAAGGCTCCATTTAGAAGGAATACAAATACAAAACCTTGTATTTTATATTATTTTATATCTATTTGTACAGTACATATTTATATTTGTATTCCTTCCAAACTAGACTAAGGTGCAAAAACAAAATATTAATTTTACCCTTAGACTTTTTTTCTATTTTTTTTCTAAAAAATTGATATTAAAACTTCTAGCCTTGTATTTTTTTTGGAATAAAAAACTTTAGGCCTATGCCATTTCCACATTTTCTACTCGTTTCAAGAGGTCAGGTTATCATTAGCAAAGGAAAACAGTTCAATCCATCAATTAAGTGGTTATAAATTATATATAGGAAATATTTATAAAGTAATTTAAGTAAATTTAAGGAATGTTTAATTAAATGAGCCTTTTCTATTTACAATAGGATCCATTTGGATGGCAGGTACCATCTCACCCTAGTCAATTTCTGCAACAGGGCCTTTCACATGCAAAAAGCTAGAAAAGACAAAGAGGTGGACCTTTTAGAATCTCATCCTCCTCTTAATCATTATTGCCTTTTGCCCGTAGGAAGGGTTCCGGGTCCCCATTTCAATCCATTTCTCTGCTTAAACAATCAACCAATTTGTATTCTTCTGTAACTTCAGGGTCCACATTCTCTTACCAAGTATTTGCTTTGTGGTTGTCTTGTGTTTCATAATGCAAAAGCACAATTTTGCATTCTCGGATGTAATAGGAAACCCTTCTCCTTTTACTGACTTAAGCATAACATCATGGTGATCCAATCGATTCAAAAACGGAATCACTTTGACCATTGATTTTTTGGCCAAATGGTTTGATCATTTGATCTGAATGGTCAGTCCATAATAATTTTAAAATTAAAAAATAAAAATTACTCAAAAATCAGATGAAATACAAACAAAACTTCAAACCAAACGCCCTTCACTATACTAAGAAGCAAGGTTTAAAAAAACTGTCATTGACAATTTGACATGGATGGTTGGATCATTTGACCTGAAAACTGGCCAAACTACAGATTCTGTTTTAATCCCAAATTGTTATTTTCTCAAAAACGGTTGAATTCATCAACGACCCTCTAACCTAAACAGTATACTTTATTTTAATTACTTTTTAAATTTATTAAAACATAATAGGATTATTCATTCGGATCAAACAGTCGAATTTAAGGTTTAAATATAGATACGCGTATGGGTGTATTAGGCGAATCGATACTATTTTTTTTTTTAGTTTTTTTTTATTTTTTTCTGAAACCGGTTCAGGGGGGCGGTTTAGGTCTCTTCCATCCCCTGAACTGGTCAGACCCCCAGTACACCCACTATAGGGGCGTATCGGTGGGGTCTCGGAACGATACGTATCGGCCCGTATTGGCTGATACATATCGATACTTTGAACCTTGATCAAATCATTGACCCAAAAATCGGTGACCAAAGCTGTTCTGACTCCAAATTGGTTTTTAAAACATTGCTAAGAAGTCATAATCCAGCAATTGAATTTTCAGACTCTCACATTACCATGCACCCCCATGGCCACGTAGGGAAGAGTGGTCCTTCTTTTAACCATGGTTTTTAAAAACGAACCGGTGATCGAATCGGTCAGGGGTCCAGTTATCAGTTCGAACGGTCCGATCATTCGACTTGAATGGCCGGCCCGTTCTGACAAAAAATAAAATATTTAAAAAAAATTTAAAAAATTAGAAAATGATCAAAACTGTTCAAACAGTTCAAACGATTAACTGGCCAGTTCAACGATTTATTGACCAAAATCAATGATTTTGAGGGAAAACAAAACCAATCAAGTGACTGATTCCCGATTTTTTGGTCCGACCATCCGGTCCGGTCCAGTTTGAAAACCATGCTTTTAACCCGTTTTTCAAACTTGAAGAGTTCTTTTCCCTATCAAGTAACCATCTTGAGAGGCGTCTAAGAATGTGGATGAATTTTGTTGTTGCATGGTCGTCCACAATGAAAACCACCTTTTTTTGTGGATGTGAGGATCATAAAAGCTGAAATCAAAATTGAATGCTTGGTGGGTCATTCAGGGTAAAGCTCAGTCAATCAAAAGTGACAGTCACAGACTGCTCTACCAACTTCAACTTCTTATCCTGGTAAGAAGTCCAGAGCTTATGCAATGATTTTGGAGTTGTTGAGTTAACAAGCCCAATTTAATCGTAAAATATGGGGTTAGGGTACTAATATTTAATTAATAAACAAACCAAAAATCATAATTGAGTCCACTCGATCTGAATATCACGCATGACTCTATGTATAGTCAATTTTGATCATGTGATTTGAAAAGTAAAACACGCAATTCTTTCTTTTTCCTAGTATGAACATTGATGGTTTAGAAAAGAAAAACAAAAGTTTGTAGAGGAATTGTTCATATGTTGGGTCATTATTTTGCAATTCCAAAAATGTAGGGCTTTTAATTTTTATCAGGTCCATTTTGGTTCTAAGTCCTAAGGATTTGTTCATATATTTGTTTTAATTTCTTAATATTTTTTATCGGGTTGGTTTCAGTTCTACTCTGTTTTGACCCAAATCAGACCCGTGGACAGCCCTAACTTGAGGTCAAATAAGGATTACATTTAAAAATAAACACATGTTAGTTGTTGTATATAACAATTGACTAACCCAACTATATGGGGTGGTCACATGAATCCTATTTTACCATTTCATTCTATTCAGTCTAATATCCATCATTAAATTATATATGCTTAAATCATTTCTTATTACTTTTATCTAAGTCCATTTTAATTTATCCCAATTTCTTCATAACAGATCATTTTTTTCTAATTATGAACAAGATCAATAACACAGCGAAGAAAAAACCCATAACTAATTATAAGAACTAGTTTTGGTTCAAGCTGAAAAATCATCCATCAAAGAAGCATATAACATATTTCCAAACTTCATTCATTAATATAGATGGATTTAGGAAAAAGCTAATCCAGGACTCAGTCAATACAGATATTGATTCATTGGTTCAACTGTCCGTCCAGGTCAATGGCATTTATTAACCATTTACATTGAAAACCCTACTTCAAAATCAAATTAAAGGAGAACCATAAGAGGGTTTTGACTGTTTGGAAGCCGCACGGAAAATCAACTTTTCTTTTTAATTTCATAGCACTCGACTTCAAGTGGTAGCATCTAGAACAACCACAGTTTAAATTTCAATGGCGTAATGTTTTGAGGTAGTTTGCCAAACGCTCAGCTTGAAAGTTGAAGCTAGCTTTTATCATAGACAAGGTGTGACCCGTTGAATTTGAACCCAGTCATGAATCTCCTTTAAATTTAATAGAAGCGTATTGGCTTGGACAGTTGCATTTGATAGATGATAAGCAAGGGAGTATGACTATAAGATGACCGGCCTACACAGAATTATTTGATAGATGGAGACGTATTGACTAGGACAGTTGCATCCAACGTGAGGTGAGAATCTCTCTCTCTCTCTTTCTCTGCAAAGAAGCTTCTGCCTTGCTGCATGGACAATGCGCCGGCCATTACAGCGACCCCTCCTCGTCCCCTTCTCTTTGTTTGCTTCCAATTGTCCTTCCAGGAAGAACATTCACAGTTTCACAGTATTTGTGGCCAGAGCCCTACTCCGCCCTGGCCCCTGTAGAGTGAGTCTTGGCCATCAGATATGAGACTTGTTTAGCTCAATTGGATGGTCTGGATTGATTGCCAAAGCACTGGGACTACCCTGTCCTATCTTATACTTGTATAGCCAGATAGAGTATCATGATTGTCATCCATCCTCATTAACGATCTTCCTTAACTCTAAACTCAACAAAGCTTTCTCTAATGGTGAGTTGTGAAAGAAGAGTTGGGTTCAGGGGCTGGGAATTTGACTACTTGTTCATAAAATTGATAGACTACTTCACCAGCCAACCTGCCAGTAGTCAAAAACTCCAAAACTCCGAACTCAGCCCAGTGAAAAGTCTCATTTTTTTTCTGAGCCAACAGAGGTTGATTAGAAGAAAGAGAGAGAAGGAGATCTGTAGTCTGTGGAAGAGAGAAAAGAAGAGAGAGAGAGAGAGAGAGAGAGAGAGAGAGAGAACATGTATTCGCCTTGCATTAGAGAGGCTTCGGAGGCCTGCTTTCATGGCTGCTGCCTAACCCCTTTGCTAGGCTTGCCTGAGCCCCCCAAATCCGACTCCAAACCCACCAACATCGTCGCTGCCACCCATTACGACTTCGCCACCGTCACAGCTTCCTCTCTGTTCCCCAACTCCCAATTCACCAACCATGAGTCCCTCCCTACCTTGTCAGAATCTTTCTCTAACTTCACCAAAGCCTACCCACAATATTCCCAGACCAATCTGGCTGAATGCATCAGAGCCCAAGAATACTACCACCTTTCTCTTTCGAATCGCGTCTGTCTTGATTACATCGGCCTTGGACTCTTCTCCTACGCCCAGCAACATGCTCAGTGCTCCACAACTACAATGGCATCTTCTTCTTCTCCACCGCCTCCCCATGATTCAGAATTTCCATTCTTTGAAATCTCCTACAAGTCAACAAGTCTGAAATCTCAGATACTGTATGGAAGCAAGGAATCAGCTCTGGAATCCGGGATAAGGAAAAAAGTCATGGGTTTCCTCAATATCTCTGAAACAGATTATTGCATGGTCTTTACAGTCAACAGGACCTCTGCTTTCAAGCTTCTGGCAGAATCTTATCCCTTCCGATCCAATCGCAGACTTCTCACAGTCTATGACTATGAAAGTGAGGCCGTTGAAACTATGATTTGCAGTTCCCAGAAGCGAGGGGCCCGAGCAATGTCAGCTGAATTTTCATGGCCAAGCCTGAGAATCCACTCTGGAAAGTTGAGTAAGATGGTAGCGAGTAAGAGGAAGAAGAAGAGGGGGTTGTTTGTATTCCCGCTTCAGTCTAGGATGACCGGAAATCGGTACTCGTATCTATGGATGAACATTGCGCAGGAAAATGGGTGGCATGTCTTGCTTGATGCTTGTGCTTTAGGACCAAAAGACATGGATACCTTGGGCCTCTCGCTCTTTCGACCCGACTTCCTCATCTGCTCCTTCTTCAAGATCTTCGGGGAAAACCCATCTGGTTTTGCGTGCCTCTTTGTTAAGAGATCCAGTGCTTCGATCTTGGAAGAATCAACCATGGCCAGAAGCATTGGAATCGTGGGTCTTACACCAGCAAAGAAGCCATGTCAGTTCACCAACGATTCCTCTGGAACTGAAACAGAGACCCAACAGGTGTTTAAGTTTGGATTGCAGGATCACAGCTTAACTAGCACAAGCTCGTTCTCGGGCCCTATATCTGCTCAGCTGAGTAATAAAGAGGAGAAGACATCTTTGAACTCAAGCCAAAGAAGGCAAACTGAAGGAGTCGAGCATGGGAAGAGCTCTGAATTATGTGAAACAGAAAGCACCAAAGAGTTGAAGGATTCCTCATCAAATGAAATAGTGGAATTGGGAACTCCCACTGAGCTGCAACCTCTGAATATAGAAACTAATAGCAGAGAAAAAGATGGGAGCTCAGAGATTGAGTGTAGGAGCTTGGATCATGCAGATTCCATAGGTCTGATACACATCAGCACCAGAGCAAGGTACCTGATCAATTGGCTAGTGAATGCATTGATGAAGCTCCATCATCCGCATTCAGGAAACGGGCTTCGTCTGATCAGAATCTATGGACCAGAGATAGAATTTGACCATGGACCTGCGCTGGCATTCAATGTGTTTGATTGGAAGGGAGAAAAAGTTGACCCAGTACTTGTACAGAAACTTGCAGACCGGAGCAATATTTCTATAAGCTACGGGTTCCTACAGAATATTTGGTTCTCAGACAAGTACACAGAAGAGAAAGAAAACGTGATAGAGATAAGAAGCCATGAAGCATCAGGAATGACAGGAAACAAGAGAAAAGTTGATTTGGGGGTGACCGTAGTTACGGCCACACTTGGCTTCCTAGCCAATTTTGAAGACACTTACAGACTTTGGGCTTTTATTGCCAGGTTCCTGGATGCAGATTTTGTGGAAAAGGAGCGATGGAGATACATGGCTCTTAATCAGCAGACTATTGAAATTTAAACCGAAGAAATTCGTTCATTCTTTCATATTTGAGGTTCAATAGTGAACAGTCTGTAATGTTGGTAGAATTGAAGCGATCAAAGTTTTGTTGTTTGCACTTAGATTTGTATTCGGCGTTCCAGTCCAGGTTCGTATTAACAGAAAGACGATGCAAACGGATTAAACAATTAAATCTGGTTGCCATTTTTAATTACAGAAACTTTGCATACAGTGAATAACAAAATATCAAAAAATGACATCAATCCTGGATTTTTCTTTGGGTAAATTACAAAGATGGGGTCTGTGACAAAGACCCCCTGTACTTTGTTTTGCCATACTATGACAGAAGGCGTCGGTAATCTCTTCTACCTCAGATTCCGGAAACGTGACTAGAAGTGCAGGATGCCGGACTGAGTTTGAGGACTACAGGAGCTTACCTTGTAAACAGGTCCAAATCCGCCCTGACCAAGCTTACTTTCTAATGAAAAGTTGTCTGTCGCGACTACGATGCTAGATAGACTGAATAGCTTTAATTCATGATCCTCCTTCCCATCTTCAACTTCAAATAATAATTTCTCTTGGTTTGTTTCATTTTGTTCTGCTGAATACAGACTTTCTTCTTTTCAACTCTTAGATCGACTGTAAGAGGTTACCTCTTGATCTGAGACTTCTCCTGTTCAAGCAGCAAAAGATGCCCAAACCCGACGGAGGCATCAGTACGCCGGCTACTATGGCAACGGTGTACAACAACCATCGCCTATCTTTTGATTCTTTTTCTGCATTGGAAATCAATTACTTTCTACAACCAAATTGTTGAAAATTGAAATAATGGATGATTCATAGAGTTACTTGTTGAACAAGAAACGAACCCAGAATATAGATAGGAATAGTGATGTAGGGTGATTTGGCACGACCTCGTAGCACGGGGACACGTGGACATGACCTGGCATGAACAACAACTCACCATGACAGCCTAGCCACAACCCGGCGTAACAAGCTCGACGAAGCCCGACCAAGCGACTCGGCGGGAGTAACAGCTCGCTAGGAGGCGAGGCTCAGCCCGCCCCAAGCACAAGGCCTAAGTGCCCCGAGCTCCCGCAGCCCTAAGGGACCCGGGCTCCCCGCGAAGGACCCGAGCTCCCCTTGAGCCCCGAACTCTCCTCTCCTAGGGAGCCCTGAGCTCCCCTTGAGCCCCGAGCTCTCCTCTCTTGAGGAGGGGGCATCTCAGCTTTTGGCTAAGTGTCCCGAGGGAGAAGTACCTCGGAACTGCATCCGCAGAATCTGTACCTATCGGATCAAAGTAGTTAGGCAGCCTGTAGGGAAGATCCGCCTGACATCCGTACCTGTCGGATCTGGTGGCAGTGCCCACATCTCTTGCCAGGCGGCGTCGTGCCTGCTGTCCCTGAAAAGCATAGCACGCCTGACGAGTCCGTACCCAGCAGCAGCAGCCCGCAGTGGCGGCCTGCACCTGCCACCTCAGTCCTGGCAGTAACGGCTAGGGCAGTGACGGTTACACCTGATGTGACCGACCTCCGGTATAAAAGGACCACCACCCTCGCGAAGCAAAGGTATTGAAGCTTAAACACTTTCAGCACTCTTACTCTCTACTCTCTCTTTGAGATTCTTCTCCAGTTCTAACTTAGCCGTCGGAGTGTTCCCACCGGGAAGCCTTCACTTCCTCATTCCTCTCAGGTGTCGTTCGTTCCAGCCGGAAGCCAGGTCACAGCCAGCTAGGAGTGCCCAGATTGTGCAACATCATTTGGCGTCGTCTGTGGGAATTGGGATGAAGAACCCTGGATCCTTCACATAGATGGCTCATCAAATCGGCAGGGCAACGGAGCTGGGATCGTTCTGTACGGGCCAAGCGGTGTGAAACTGGAGTACGCACTACGCTTTGAGTTCGCGGCATCCAACAATGAAGCAGAGTATGAGGCACTGCTAGCGGGCTAGATCTGGCAAAGGAAGTGAAAGCCAAGAACGTCGTTGTCTGCAACGATTCCCAACACGTGGTAAACCAGGTTATGGGTGAATACGAAGCCCGCGAGCCAACCATGGTAGCATACTTAGCCAAAGCAAGATGGGCTCTACTCAACTTCTGGTCATACTTCATCCAGCAAATCCCGAAATCAGAGAATGCCGAGGTCGATGCCCTATCCCGTCTAGCCAACACTGGCGATAACACCATGAGAATCATGTATATAGAGAATTTGCCTTGGCCTAGCATTCTCAGGGGGGCAAAGGAGGTTGCTCCGTCGTTCAAGCAGAGTCGAACTAGATTGATCCTCTCACGAGCTTCCTGCTACACGGGACCCTCCCTGCAGATCGTAACGCCGCCAGGAGGGTAGAGCGTCAGGCAGCCAAATACGTCATGATTGACGGACGGCTGTACCGAAAATCCTACACGCTCCCCAACCTGCGCTGCCTACGACCCTCTGAAGCCAAGCTCGTCCTTTGCAATACTCATGAGGGCCTATGCGGTGGACACTTGGGGGGCAGGACCCTCGCTTAGAAAGCACTACGACAGGGGTATTACTGGCCAACGATGAAGGCATATAAGACCGAGCTCGTCAAAAAATGCGACAAGTGTTAGAAGCACGCCAACATCCACCACCGGCCTACTGCCGACCTAAAATACCTCACTAGCCCATGGCCATTTGCGCAATGGGGGATTGACCTACTCGGGCCATTCCCACCAGCAACAGGACAAAGGAGGTTCCTAGTGGTGGCAGTTGACTATTTCACAAAGTGAGTCGAAGCTGAACCTCTCGCAACAATCACGGCTCGGAATGTGTAGAACTTCTTTTGGAAGAACATAGTGTGTCGTTTCGAATTACCTCGGGTACTGATCTCCGATAATGGTAAGCAGTTCAAAGACATCAAATTCCAAAAATGGTGTCGAGACATGGGGATTCAGTAGAACTTCACCTCAGTGGCGCACCCTCAGGCAAATGGACAAACGGAAGTCACAAACAGGGCAATCCTTCGAGGGCTAAAAGCGCGCCTGGACCGAGCTAAGGGACTGTGGATGGACGAGCTGCCCAGTGTGTTGTGGGCCTACCGTACCATGGAAAAGACTGCCACAGGAGAAACCCCCTTTAACCTCACATACGGCACCGAAACAGTCATTCCAGCCGAGATTGAAGTTCCTTCACTAAGATTAGAAGCATATGATGGCAGGGCAAATGAAGACGAGCTACGAACCAACCTCGACCTGCTTGACGAAGTACGGGACCTCGCATACATCCGGACCGTGGCCTACCAGCAAAGGGTAGCTCGGTACTATAACACCAGGGTCAAAAAGCGGACTCTCCACGTTGGCGACCTGGTTCTCCGTAAGGTTATGGTGCCTGAGCCCGGCGTTGGCAAGCTCGGTCCGAACTGGGAAGGACCCTACCGAGTAAAGCGAAAACTCGGGGAAGGAACATACGAGCTCGAAACCCTAAAAGGGAAACAAGTACCTCGGGCGTGGAATATCGTCAACCTTAGACAGTATTACCTATGAGTAACGGAGTAGACCACGGGTCTCTCTCAGGGATCAAGGGTCAAAAGGACCGAACTAACGGACTCCAGCACGATAATTTAGCCACCCTATGATGCAAATGAGCTCTAAGGGGCCAAAACACCGAGCTGACCAAGGAGCTCGGCACCATAGCACACCGCGTCAAGGGCGCGAGCAGACCCTACGGCACTAAGCCCACCTCGGTGTACACCATGAGGCAGTTCAGGCACACGCCTTACTATGCCTTACTATGTCAATCACCTCGGTGTACGCCATGAGGCAGTTCACGCACACGCCTTACTATGCCTTACTATGTCAATCACCTCGGTGTACGCCGCAAGGCAGTTCAGGCATGCACCCTACTATGCCCTACTACAACAAACCAATCCGCACACAACCATGACAAGCTCGGATAAGGCAATACGTAGAAAAGAAAGATCACTTAGAAAAGGGTCAATTTCATTAACATGTAAAATTTTATACAATGAGCTCAAAACAAAAAGAAAAAACAAAATACAAGGACTGAGCTCGCATGCTCGGAATACAAGGGCAATTACTTCGGGGGCTCTCCACCCCCAGGAGCTTCGGGCTGATCAGGGGTATCAGCTTCTTCGTCACCACCCTCCTCCTCTAAGTCCAGATCCTCCACGGCTTGACGAGCTATCTCACCTGTGATTCGCGAGGTGGTGATGGCGCTTGTGTCGAGCTCAGGGTACGTATGCCATATCAACCACCTGCTGACCCCATAACGGCATCAAACTTATCGGACTGAATATACTCAGAGATGACCTTGACCTTCGTCTCCTCTATCGCCTGGGTAAAGATCTCGATCTTCTCTGTGATGTCCGCCTTGAGGTACTCCACCTCGTGCAAAAGAACCTTCTCCTTTTCCTTAAGGCCTTCCGCCTCTGCTTTAAGGGCGTCCAGCTCGCCCTTCAGCACGCCCTTCTCGTGTGTCAGCTCCGCTCTAAGGGCCTTCATTTTGCCCCTCAGCTCGTTGTTCTCACTAGCTAGCCCGTCCTTCTCCTCCGTCAGTGTTGTGATGACGCCCCTCTGGGCCATGGCACCGCTCTCCAACCGGTGGATCTGCTCATGAGCCATCCTAAGTTCGGTATGGGCAGCGCGGGAAGACTCCTCGGCAGTCAAACCCCGCTTTAGGTACCTCTCGGTATGAAGAGTAAGGGCGTGCACGGCGGAGTTCGCCTGACAAAGGAGCTAGTTAGTACCGGAGAAGCATAGATACAAAAAAGAAAAAAAAAAGAAAGAAAGAAAGAGAAGAAAACTTACCACCATAGTGTGGGTGGCAGCCCGGGCTCCGAGCTGAGAAGGGTTGAGCATGTCAGCCCAAACCGAAATCTCCTCGGAGTAAGTGGCCCCCTTGCTCTTCCGAAGACCGCATTGGGGGAGCAAGATGCTTCGGCCCCCATTTGGGCTCCCCGAGATGGAGACAGTCGTCTCGGCTGTGTGAATAGGCTCGGCGGAGACTTCGGCTACAACGTTAGCAGCCCCGGTGGCAACCTTGGCCTCGGCTGCCGACCTCACTACAGCCTCGTAGGGACTCCTCCAAGTCGATGATCGGAGGAGCCCAAGGGAGCTTGGGCTCAGAGATTGGAGCCTGGGGAAGCTGGGGCTCGGGAGTGGGGGCAGGCGGTGACTCGATACAAGCTCTCTTGGCAGCCCGCTTCTTCCTCCCCTTCATATGCTTAAAGAGCCAGTCTCCCTTGAGTTTATCTGCCTCCATAGGACCTGCAAAAGAGTTCGATATTAGTACTCGAGTAAAAGAAGGAAAAGAAGAGTAGGCCAAACAACTAAGGTACTAACTACCTATCCGGGCACAAGCCGGCCTGGAAGAGCATACCCTCTTTGATATAATCTCTGAAATCACAACCGACCTCAGCCCACGATTGGAATGCCTCCCTGGTCTTCTTGTCGAGTATGATGCCAGGGTCTTGGATAGCCGCCCTCCAGTGAGTAGGGAAGGGCCACCCCGCGGGATTTCGGACTACGAAGTAGTCCTGCTTCCAGGCCGGGATCTTGCTAGGAAGCTTGTGCATTAGCTTAAAGCCCGGGCGGGGGGACAAGTAGTAAGCCCTCCTGTGCTCGGGGAGAACACATGAAGCGCTCTTCTTGATGGTCAAGATGGAGCAGAGTATGTCCAAGTCAAGGGGCATGACATACTCATAACAAAGAGAGATGGTCCCGACCACGTTACGGACTGAGTTAGGGTGAAGCTGGTCTATTGTAACGTTGAAGTGTTTCAAGACCTCCACTAAGAGTGGATTGAAGGGAAGACGCAGCCCGGCTATGAGCTGCTCTCGGAAGATCACGACCTCGTCAGGGCCGTGCTCCCATGGGAAGTTTCCCGCAGGTAAACTATAGGTATACTCCCTTGGCAAGTTATATTGTCGAATGAGCTCGCGGAGCCTCTCCAAGGTCATGGTGGAGGGTCCGAACCTATCCAGCATCCAAACTCGATGAGAGGTGGATGCCTGGTGACCCGAGGCCTCCCGCGCCTCGGGAGGGTTACCTAGAGCCGAGGTACCCACCTCGGGTTCGTCCAAAAGGCTATCGAAGGAAGACATAATTGAAACTAAGGAAGAGCTACGATGACTCACCAAAGAGAAGTAAGACCGGACTGGAAAGGAACTGACCCGAGCTGGAGGCTTTGGATGCGAGCTCAAGAATACAGCTGAAGATTTGTGGCAAAGGAAAATGACTAGGACCCCCACTATTTATAGCCACTATCTGCAAGCATCAATGGTTGACAACAAAGCAATCTGACGGCCCTCATGAAAACCGGCTACACAACCTTCGAGACGAAATCAGTTTAGCGCGTTTTTTGGCGTCCGCGGAGTCTATAAATCGTGTGACGTCCGCGCGTAGACTGTACGCGACTCGAGCTGCGCTGGCAAAATCAAGCAGGGAACCGGTCCAACCTATGAGCTGGCGGACAAGAAGGCTTAGACCCCAAGCCAAATCCACCCGGCAGACCTCGGACTCCCCGCACTAAGTCAGCACCCCTAGCACGGGGAGTGGGGGCAATTGATGTAGGGTGATTTGGCACAACCTCGTAGCACGGGGACACGTGGACATGACCTAGCATGAACAACAACTCAGCATGATAGCCTGGCCACAACCCGGCGTAACAAGCTCGACGAAGCCCGACCAAGCGACTCGGCGGGAGTAACAGCTCGCTAGGAGGCGAG